AAACCCTAAACCTTATAGACCCTAAAACCCCTAAACCCTATAGACCCTAAACCCTATAGACCCTAACCACCCAAGAAAAGCCGCCTTCAGGAGCTCGGGCCCCGCTTGTCTTCCCTGCGCCGACTCGTGGGAAGCGACCGCCGGGCGGCCGGAGCCGAGCGGAGCGTCGAGGTTCCCTTTAAGGGCTCCTTTGAGGGTTTAGGGGTTTCGGGTTTAGGGTTTAGGGTTTAAGGGTTTAGGGTTTAGGGTTCAGGGATCTAAGGGAGGTTCCCTTAAAGGGCTCCTTTTAGGGGTTTTGTAAGGGTTCCTTAAGGTTTAGGGGTTTAGGGTTTTAAGGCCCTAAGCCCTAAACCCTAAACCCTAAAAGGGTTTAGGGTTTAGGGTTTAAGGGTTCTATAAGGGTTTCAGGGAGGTCCCCTAAAGGGCTTCTTTGAGGCTTCCTTTAAGGGCTCTGTAAGGATCTAGGGTTTAAGGGAGGTTCCCTAAAGGGCTCCGCTAAAGGGTTCCTAAACCCTAATTAAACCCTAAACCCTCATTACAAGGTTCCTTTAGGGTCCTAAACCCGAAACCCCTAAACCCCTAAACCCCTAACCCTAAGCCCGGAAGCCCTTTGAGGGTTCCTTTAAGGGTTGGTTTCCTTAGGGTTTAGGGCTCAGGGTTTAGAGGGCTCCTTCAGGTTTAGGGGCTTGAGTTCAGGGTTTCAGGGTTTAGGGCTTTGGGCTTAGGATTCTTATTGTAGTTCCTCTTTTAACGCTCGAAGTATAAAAACACTCAACAGTACCTACTTCTGGGCCTGACGTCTATGAACAGTGCCTGCTCTGGGCTATTTGGAGGTTCCTTTATGTAATGTGGCTTTCGGGTTCCTTAATAGGTTCCTTTAATTTGAGGGTTCTTGTAAGGTGTCTATAAGGCTCCTTTAAAGGGTTCGCTTCAGGGTTCCGTCTCAGGTGTCTATAAAGGTCACCATATGGTTCCCTTAAAAATCCTTGCGGGGTTCCTTAAAGGGTTCATTTTCAGGTGTCTATGAGGTGACTATGAAGGTTCGCTTAGGAGGGTTTAGGGCTTAGGGTGTTTTGGGGCATGAAGGGCTTAAAAGGGTTTCAAGACGTGTAATTTTAGGATTTGAGAGGGTTTGGGGAGCGATCTGCGAAGCTTTGGTCAGCTTTGCAGAAACACTTCAACGACTTGTTGTGTTATTGTAGGCGCCGAATTAGTTACCTGCACTTTGTCAGAGGTTCCTTTTTATTAGTTAAACTGCAATATACCCCAAAACCCTATTCTAATTATTAAGGCCCCTATATTTAAGTATGACAAATGGACCAGGCTTGGGAAACAAAAGCAGAGGTGCCGAGGATGCACCCCCGGGAGCAGGTGTTGAATCGCCTGGGCTGCTACGCCAAGCACGCCCTTGAAGAGAATGCCAAGCTTCACCTAAGGGTCCATGTACTCACATGGGAGTTTCCAAAAATTAGGGTACCTTATTTGGGGGTCCTTATAATAAGGGTCCTACTATTTAGGGTAAGTACCTATATAGGGAATACTTTAAGGCCAAAGTATACACTATTTGGGTACATGGACCCTTAGGGATCAGTACGCGCCCATCGTCTTCGTAACGTCGTCATCACATCATGCCGCGCTGCTCGAGGTCTTCGTACACTTACACATTGAAAGTCTACAATGCGGACTTCAAGTTAACCACTGTGAGCAACAAGCAGTCCGACCAAGGTAGAGAGATGTACTCCCACACGTTTTATGGTTTTAAGGTTTGGGGTTCAGGCTGTCAAAGTGTTGTAGTGTTCACTCGGGGTTTTGTGTTTCGTGTTTCAAGGGTTTGGTTTTTCAATCGGGCTGTAGTCTTTGAGGGGTACGGTTCTTGGTTTCGGGCTTCAAAATGCTTTGGGTTTGATGGCGGGTTTAGGAGCCCCTTCTGGCAACCTGGGAGGAGGCTCATTGATGTTTATGTTACAATTTGGTTTTAAGCACCCTTTCTTCAACGGGCTGCTACGAGGGCTTCTATCTGGGGTCTGTAAGTGGTGACGCGTTACTTAGGTTCCAGGGCCAGCTCAGGGGCCTCTTAAAAAAATAACGGCAACGTCGCTCGAACTCCTGGCCATGTTCCTGGAAACAGCCACCCGTTCCTCTGTCTGGTGCTTAGTAGGGAATGGGGGAATGGATCCCTCCCTTAAGGTCCCTTATAGTGGTCCCTATAACCCATTCCCCCATTCCCTACTAAGCACCAGACAGTCCTGCAAGGAGGCATCGACAGAGTGGACAGTTCGATCGGCAGAGTACGAGGTGGCTGTCTCCAGGTTTCGGGTTTAGGGGCTTTCGGGGTGTAGGGATTTAGGGATTGTGGTGATTGTAGGGTTTAGGGATTTAGGGATTTAGGGATTATAGGGTTTAGGGCTTTGGGGTTTAAGGGTTTTAGGGGTTTCGTAGTGTAGGGATTACAGGGATTATAGGGTTTAGGGCTTTGGGGTTTAAGGGTTTGAGGGTTTTAGGGGTGTAGGGCGCGCTTGAAGGAAACCTAAACCTTCAAAGAACTGGAACTGGAAACCTAAACCCTTGAGAGCCCTGAAAGGAACACTTACAAGGAACCCAAAGGTCTCAAAACCGGGAGTTATAAGCCCGAAACCCTAACACCCTGAACCCCAAACTCCTATAGAGCCTTTAAATCTAGGACATTTTCAGGTGAGTAGTTACCGTTATAGGAGCCTTATGGAAGGTCTATATACCTTATGGAAGCCTTATAGAAGCCCTATATACCGTAAACTCCCCACCTGTAGTTTCCTTTAATTAAAGGAACCCCGACATCTCTCATCCCCCCAAAGGCCTTTAAACTGGGAGCCTCAATTCTAAAACCCCCAAACCCCTAAACCCCGAAAGCCGAAGCCCCTAAACCCTAAACCCCAAAGTCCCTACTAAACCCCTAAACCCTAAACCCCTGAACCCCTAAACCCCTAAACCCATGGGTTTAGGGTTTAGGG